AAAGAAAAATAGGAAGGTTTTCTAAGTCTAAAATGAAAATTCCTGTGTGACATGCCTGCAATATTCTATTCTTTAATAATGTCACTGCATGCAAAGAGACCATGGCATGGACACTTCCTTAGTGAAGATAGATATTTGTCCAGAATCAAGGTTAATTTCATTATTGAACAAAGATTATGTCGTAGCCTCAATTAAGTGGCTGGCTGGTGAGAAAGGGTGAGCATCTAGGTACTTCCTCAATCAGGTTCTCTGGATACCCGCCATGTACGGTGTCCCTGAAGGACTGGGTAAAATTTTTCAGGAGAAAAGAGAAGTGTACATTTCAGTTTCAGCCTGTCCACACTGTGCCACCTCGGTGTACAGCCCCAGCACTCCTGACAATAGCAATTCACTTTTTCCAGAGTACAGTGTGGTGTCCAGTTGTTTTGTCCATGACAGGCCACTTTGACTTGGTTAAGAAAAAGAGTCAGATGGGATTGAGTGACCGGAAATCAAATAATGCCCTGAGACAGGACTAAGATTACCTCTTTGTCTCAAAGTAGAAAACTAAACTCTGGACTCATTTGAAAGGCAATAAAAGGAGGGAGATGGGAGGGCCATACAGAAATTTTATTTTGTTTTTAATGTCCTTTTCTTTCTTTCAAGAGAGATGTAGAAAAAGAAAGAGAAAGACAGAGGTGGATAAAGGTACCTTGGAGTGGATCTTGCCTCACAGCAATCCTCCCCTAGCCACCTAGCCAGCCATCACAGGTACACAAGTGTGTTCAAGTACACCTGGGATCAGAACCCAGGCCTCCCATGGAGCTCCAGTACTGCGCACGGGTGCCCTACCAGCTGCACCACTGTGTCTAGGCCAGGGACATTTGCTATTTCATTTGGATTTTTTCTTACTGAGTTTAATACTTCTTTATACTTTACCTATTATTATGTGGCTATTTATGTCATTTGAAGCAAGAGATTTTTATTTTGGTGAGGTCCAATATATCTTTTTTTTGGGGGGGGGAGGGTTGGTTATGCTTTTGGTGCCATATCTAGAAACCATTACCTAATCTAAGGTCATGAAGATTTATATCTATATTTTCTTTGAAGAATTTTATAGATTTAGCTCTTACATTTAAACCTTTATCTCATTTTGAATTAATATTTTGCATGGATCGTAGTAGGAGTACAACTTCATTATTTTGCATATGGCAATCCAGTTGTCCCAGCTCTGTTCATTGAAAAGACTATTCTTTCCTCACTCAACTGTCTTGGCAACTTTGTAAAGAGAAGTTTTCTTCTGGAACCGGTCTTTTTGCAAAAGTTTCTAGGTCATTATATTCTATTTTCTCTTTGAAATAAATTTTAGAATAAAATTTCAAGCTTTGTAATAATCCATTGAGATTTCAGTTTGGACTACATCACATGCATAGGTTGATTTGGGAAGAACTTGTATATTCACAATAAGAAGGAATTTTCTTATTCATGTACAAGGTAGGTCTCTTAATAAGGTCATTCTTTATATCCCTCGGTCTGGTTTTAGTTGTTTTTTTTTTTTTTTTTTGCTATGTGACTATTGGAAAATTTTTGTTGAACTATGCCTAGCTGTATTATAGGTTTGTTGATAACATGAATAGGATTTATTTTTATCATCTCTTATATGGTTATTTTTAATGTAAAGGAAGCCTGTAAGCTCTTTTTTAGAGCCCTTATACAGCATTGAAGAATGAGATGGCTAGGTGTCCAAGAGCCTAGAGGGAAAGCTGCAGAGTAAAAGCAGGTGTAGAGACACTGGGCAATGGGAGATGAGGTGGCAGATTATGGATGGAAGTTAGTTCTGCTTGGCTGGAATATTCAGGGCTCTTTTTTAGAACCCTTATACAGCATTGAAGAATGGGATGGCTAGGTGTCCAAGAGCCTAGAGGGAAAGCTACAGAGTAAAAGAAGGCGTAGAGACACTGGGCAATGAGAGATGAGGTGGCAGATTATGGGTGGAAGTTAGTTCTGCTTGGCTGGAAGATTCAGGTGCAGAAGTGCAGCACCACAGTGTACTATTACTATTCCTCCCCTGGCACGGCTGTCCTCTTCAATAAGCATGTGGCTTAGGAAGGGATGCATAGAGATGGGGGATTGAGGTGGAGGACTGCTCAGCTAGTCACAACTGACATCCACCCAGGCCATCAGGGAGTACAGCTCTTGTGACAGTTTGCCTCCTTAGCCTCTTAGTGAAATAAATTCTGGATGACTCCATGGTCTTTTCTCTCTAGATAACTCAGAGTAGGGACTTAAAAGATGCATGATGATAATATTTTATGACCATGAGGAGACCATTTAATTAAATTGTAATGACCCAGAACATCAGAGGAATCCTGGTATACTTGCTCTCTCCCTCCAAATCCCCTCACCCCGTCCCAAATAAAGCCATGCTACATGGGGTGGAAGATTTCAACCCTAGGAACATAGAAGCCATATTGAAGCTGAAGAAAACCCAGAGAGGGAAAGGACAGCAGATGGTGTGAATCCAGGCTGTCAGGGTACCAGAATCACTGGGTTTTGACTGTTACAGATCTTTGGGGTCCCATATCTTATAGGATTTCCCCCATTTTTAATAAATGTAAAATAAATACCGCTTTCAGCAGTTAAATACTGGTTAAAAAATTAAAAACCAAATGGTGATGATAATCTTATTACTGACCTCTGAAATTTCAAACTAATTTATTCTCAATCTCAATTTATTTTTAATAGAGTATTTATCAAATGTACTTTCAGTTTAAATACACAGAAATATAAGTTCATTAAAGCATGGCTAAGAACAAATTAGTATAAAATTAATTTCCAGTTCAACAACTTAGTTGAAGTATTGCTTAGAGAAGATGAGGAGGATGGATTTTAGCTCTCATAAACTGTTCCTTAAAGTAAACAATTCCACCTCCTTTAGTCACTGCTACAATTAACAACTTATTTCTTTGTTGTTACACCACTTTTGATTTACCTTCAGAGAGTGGACTAACAGGTCCATTGCTCACTCTAGAAAATGACTAACTTTTTAGATTACTAAACATAATTACTAGAACTCCAAATTCCAGATTCTCTGGTTCAGCCACTGTGGAGAACAATATGGAGGTTCCTCAAAGACCTACAAATAGAAGTACATTTTATCCAGCAATCCCACTTCTGGGTATCTACTCAAAGGGCAGGAGGATGCTTAGTTGGAAAGACACTTGCACATCAATGTTTATTGCAGCTTTATTTATGATCACTAAGACATAGAACCAGCCCAAATGCCCACAAACTGATGAATGGATTGAAAATGTGTGGCACATATACTCCATGGAATACTACTCAGCCATAAAAAACAACAAGACCCTGGCATTTGATAGAAAGTGGTCAGATATGGAGGATCTATTGCTGAGTAAAGTAAGCCAAGATATGAAAGAAATATATTGTATGTATCTACTTAATATATACTGACCATCCACCCTTTATGGTAGAGATTGAAATATTGGAGGGCATAAAAGCAGTGAAAATAGTTAGTGATGATAAGAGAGTGTGGAATGGGGCTGGAGAAGAGAAGAGTATGGAGAAGGATAGCAAGAGAACAAATAGAAAGGTATGACATTAGTGGGATTCAGATATGGTTTATTACCTGTTGATGATGACATGTATAGTATTCTCAACTGGACAGGTCTGAGAAGTATTTCATGTTGAGTAAAGTCTTTTTACAAGTAAAATGATAAAAAGTGAATGTTTAAAAAATAATTGGAATAATAATAATAATCTGGAAAAAAATGAAAAGCTATTGGATGATGATGGGGATTTTAATGTCTTTGTATTGACTGATATGAATGGTATCTTTCTGGAAAATGAAATGTAAAATACACTGTAAAGTTATATGTGATTCAATGTAATATAAACAAGATTATGATAATAATAAATTAATTAATTAATTAATTAAAAGAAAGAGAAAAAATTCCAGATTCTCCAGAACAATTACAATTTCATGAAATTATTTTTTTAATATGGCTCACCAAATGTATAAAAATGAGATACAGGATTGTGAAAGTTTATTTATTTCTTCCATGAGAGAGAGAGAGAGAATGAGAGAGAATGAAAGAAAGACAGAGATACAGCATCCTAGATCATGGGCAAGCATGTGTTGAGTATACACAGGGAAGTCTCTAGACTTGAATGGAGAACCTTCTCATGTAGATAGTGGGTCAGCCTTGCAGAGTACTGCTAATGCTCTGTGATTTAGTTTTTTACTTTTTTCTTTTTTGTTAAAGGGCATGCTTGCTTGTTAGAGAAAACTGAGAGACAGAAAGAAAGGGAGAAAAGAAAGCAAGCACGCCCCCACATCCATCCTCATGCAGAATGTTCATGCCACAATCCTGTCTCCTCCATCTCTTTCTTCCTTTGAGATTTTCTGGTACACATACACATCTGCCTGATGTGTTTTTTTGAGCCACCAGGTCTTAGACTCAAA